GTCAATAGGTTTAAAATAGATCTTTCCATGTTTACTATATACCAGTATAACAGTTCTGTTATAGGTGTTAAACATTAGCTCCTTATTCTGGTGAAAACTGACCAGATTTTGCTTCTTAAGACTGAGTCACACTGAGCCAATATGTAAAAGGGTGCAATGGTGGGATTTAGGAAGGTGTCTTAGGAGGTTTAGAAGTCTAGTGCTGTCTATCTACCATACAAGGCTATTACAGGATTACATATGATGTGGATAAAATACCTGGCACATAGTAGGTACTCAGTGAATGGTGCTTTTTCATTCTCTCATGTCATTGATGATGGCCATAGACACAGTTCTAGAATTTTTATTCAAGGTCATACACATTTAGGCATGTTGGGATTGATCTTGATTTTAGCAGAGTTCTTTTATATTGACCCTTAAGAGCACTAATAGCATGTGTTGAAAGTGTGGTTTCTACTCAATAAATTATAGGCTGATAATAACTCAGGAAATAATGCAAATGGTTTGGAATTTCTTGATGGAACGAGACAAGATTTAACAGTGTTCAAGAGTCGAATAATTGTATCAGAATTCAACTTTTCCCCAGCTTTATCCGTTCCGCACATAAAGACATGTTGCACCGATAAAGCACTCCTATGTGGAATCCACTGAGAACCAGGTGGAGCCCTGGAGTCGGAGGATTAGAAGTGTGCAGACTGGTGCAGCCAGTGAGAGTCGTGGAAGACAGGCTTACTCATGAAAAGGACCTTGAAATCATTGGCTATCGGCTGAGAAATGCCTTTGGGAGCAGGAAGGCAGTTATGATACACCCGAGAAGTTTAAAGAAGAACTTGGTGAAAAGAGAGCAGCCACAACCAGGCTCTCGGGCACTGTTCTTCCTACCACCCAGGTTAAGCCTGTGCATGGTTACAAGGTCTCTCTACAGGCCGTGCAGCAAATAGTACAATGCTGAGAGCTCCAGAGGGACCCTGTGAGGACAGCGCTAATGTGTAAACATACATCTCCCCAAAGGAGGAAGCAATCGACTGGTTGCAGTGTGATTTGAGGGAGTTGGTATTGATAATTGAGACCCACATGTCATATTTTAAAATATTCTACTTAACTCTTAAAGTTAGCAGCATTTGTGTAACATAGGAAACCAAAATGTCAATGGGAAATGTTATGAATGGTAAAATTATATGAAGACTGCAAATTACTGTGCAAAATTTGATTCCAACTGTATGGCCCATGCTCTCCAAGAGCATGCTGTTAAGAACAGTGGTGCCTAGAGATTTAGTTAAATTACCTACATACTGTATTTTTAACCATTCGTTCGATTCATTAAATATATATAAGAGACTTGTTACCCCCAGGCATTTTCTCGCCATTGGAGGAATGTGAAACAATAATTTCTTCCCTTATGAAGCTTATATAGAGGGAAGATAGAAAAAGGTGGAGGTACCAAGTGGGGGTGATACGGATGAATGGATGACTGAATGAATATAAACAAAAGTAAGTCAGGGGAAATGGATAGAAAGTGTAATGCTGGTGATGAGCTGTTACGTTAATAGAGTGGCCACACGGCCCCTGATGGTTTGGCACTTGAGTAAAGGCCTGAAGTCAGTGGGGAGCGTGCCATGCAGGTGTCTGTGAAGAGGGAACAGCAAGTGCAGAGCCCCTGGCAGGAGTGTGTTCACATCCTGGAGGAGCATCCGAGAGAGCAGTGGGGTAAGAGTGGGATGAGCAAGGGAGAGAATGGTAGCTGATGAAGGAGAGATGTTACCTGGGGCCAGATAGGACCTTGTAAAAGGCCTTTGTGATGCTTTTTACTCTGAAAGAGAGGGAAAAAATTGGTGGGTCTTAGGCAGAGGAGGGGCACTGCTGTCATTTTATTAATATGACTCTGGCCTTTTGTTTTGAAAACAGTGTGCATTGAGGCAAGGGAAGAAGCAGCTGGCAGGCTATTCAGTCATCCAGATGGAGTGATGGAGGCTCAGATGGTGGAGTAGGGAGAAGAAGTTAGAATTTAGATATGTATATACAGTATTTTAAAGTAGGGCCAACAAGATTTGCTGATGGATTGGAGCCTGGGTGTGAGGAAAAGAGAAAAGTCAGGGATGACTTGGAGGATGGAATTATCATTTAAAGAGATGGGGAATCCTAGAGGAGTATCAGTCTTAGAGGGGAAACATCTTACAGGGGAGTTTGGCCTGGGGCACGTGAAGTGTGAAATGTCTATTACACATTGAAGGGACGATGTCAGGTAGGCAGCTGAAAATATGAGTCTTGAGTTCAGGGGAGCTCTTATCGTTGGTATTTTAAATGATAAGACCCATTGAGATGGCCAAAGGGGAGGGAGTTTAGATAAAAAATAAGTTTGAGAACTGAGACCTTGGGTCACTCTAGCATTAAGAGGGTGGGATAATGAGAAACCTAAGAAGACATGGCCAGTGAAGCAGTGGGAGAGCCAGGAGAGTGTGATGTCCTGGAAACCAAGCAAAGAAAACCTGTTTAAAGAAAGGGTTGTAATCAGCTCTGTCAGATATCACTGACAAGTCCAGGATGATGAAAACTGATCATTACATGTAGTAAAAATTGTCTCTGATGCTTTTTACCCAAATGGCCTTGAATGAATTACCTGCCTTGTAGGGTGGTTGTGGTGAACTGTTTAAAAAGCGTCTGTCTCACTCCGTCTGTTGGATAGTTTAAGGTGGATGTCATCGGTGACTTTAACAAGAGTAGTTTTCAGGGGATCCATGGGCACAAAAGCTTGATGGGAATGGTGGGTTCGAGTGAGAATGGGAAGGAAGAATGGGAGACAGCAGGTAGAGAAATGGGATGTTTATCCATGGGAATGTGGGGTCAAGAGAAAGTGTTTTTTTTTTTCCTCTCTGTCTATGGTTGGGAGAAAGTATACAGTTCACTTGCTGATGAGAACCATCCAGTATAGAGGATAAATTGATGATGTAGTTGGATAAGGATTGTGAGGTGTTTGGGTCGTAGATACCAAGTTGACTGAAATAACAAGATTTGTCCTTTGTTTTCCGCCCTCTCCTTCTCAGTCTTTCATTCATTTGTTTACCAAATAGTTCTCAATGGTTCACAAGGTGCCAAGGTCTGAAGTAAGTTCTGGGTAGAGAATGATGATTAAGGGACGAATTAAATAGGAATGATCTCTACACTCTCATGAAGCTTTTAAATATATTTTTATTGATTTCAGAGAGAAAGGCAGAGGGAGGGAGAGAGAGATAGAAACATCAGTGATGAGAGAGAATCATTGATCGATTGCCTCTTGCGCATCCCACACTGGGGATCAAGCCCGCAACCTGGGCATGTGCCCTTGACCGGAATTGAACCGTGACCTCCTGGTTCAAAGGTTGATGCTCAACCACTGAACCATGCCCGCCGGGCTCTCATGAAGCTTTTATTGTCTGCTGGTGTTACGCTTTCTAAAAATACCGATAAGTAAATATAGACTGTGAGTAAAGCTTAGCAGGAAAAGTACAGAGTATTTTTCAGAGAAAGAATACCATGGAGATTTAGACTGGCAGCATTAGGAGGCCTCCGAGCTATAAACGGTGGCCATGATTGAGAGGAAGGGTGTTCCATGTAGAGGGACTAGAACATGCAGAAGCCCTGGGGCAGGGGACAACTGGTGCTTTTGAGGATTTTAGAGGTGGCCAGTGTGGGCTAAGGGGTAGGCAGGAGCCAGGTCTAGCAGAGCTTTCTTGGCCATGAAGATTTTAGATTATATCCTAGGAGCAATGGGAAACCATTGAAACATTTTAATGTAGGAAATGACATGATTCGATTTGCATTGGGGAAAAAAAACTATCTGTGTTGCTGTGTCATGGTCAATGGATCAGTGGGGGCAACAGTGGAGAAAAAAGAATACCAACTTAGGCAAATGATAGTATCTGTGGAAACATGTAGACTGAAATAGTTTTTCTATGAAAAAAATAGAATTGAGAATATCCTTCTTTTAGCAGAATTGGCTTTGAGTTTACCAGGTTTCTCAGCAGCTGTGAAGAGTATTTTCTTGTTAAAAATAATACCAATACAAAAGAGTCAGATGAAAATATCAGTGATTTCAGATTATTTAACAAAAGATGAAAAGATTATTTACCAAAAATTGTGGTAACTTTGTGAAAAATTAAAAATAGTAAGACCATATTAATCTTTTTGTCCAGAAAAACTACTAGTGACACAATATTAGAGATAGAATCTAATAAGAAAACAGTAGAATACATGAATATGTACCAAGAATAATTAATCTGTTTATATTTTAAATGTTCATATACTATAAAGAAACCTTAAAATTTTTGCATTGATGTAGTGGATGTACATTATTTTCACTTTTTAAAAAAATATGTTTTATTGATTTTTTTACAGAGAGAAAGGGAGAAGGATAGAGAGTTAGAAACATCGATGAGAGAGAAACATCGATTAGCTGCCTCCTGCACACTCCCCACTGGGGATGTGCCCGCAGCCAAGGTACATGCCCTTGACCGGAATCGAACCTGGGACCCTTGAGTCCGCAGGCCAACGCTCTATCCACTGAGCCAAACCGGTTAGGGCTATTTTCATTTTTTAAAATAAAGTAAATGTAATAATAGTTTATTGGTTAATAAATATTTCAAAAGTTCCCTTTTCCACTTTCAAAAGTGTCTTAGTTTGTATGATAAATTATATGGTTAGAGATAGAGGATCTCTACCAGTTGAGGGTCAGACTGGTAAAAAAGTGGTCAAGTTTTAGAACTGGATGCATAATTTATTGTGCTCATTTAGGCTTTTCCCCGAAGAGATTTCTTAAAGCAGAAGGGCAGTTTTAATACCAAGTACTGCTATCTCAGGTCACCCACAACTCCAGGGTCATGAATTAACTTGTTTTGAGAACTCAAAAAAAGAAGAAGAAGAAGAAAGAAAAAAAGAATAGAAGAAACAGAAGTTATTCCCTGTCTAGACAGTCTACTCGGGAGCATTCTGTCTTGGTTGTAATCCCAGTTTTCTTTCTCACACAGGCATTTATTAATGCTCTTCAGAGTCGGAAGAGGCAGGCCATCTTACCATCTGGAGTGTCTGCGCCTGGCTGACCTAAGCTTAACCTGCCAGTTTACGGGAGATGATAGACAACACCCAGAACGGCTGAGTAAGTAGATGCTGCTGTGCTTTGCTTTACAGCTTTAAAAAAAAAGTAAAATTTTTATAACTTAAAAGTTTAAAATATGCATTTTAATTCGGTTCTTTAAATTTTTGTTGCTGAATAATGATGGCAAGTATTATAATTCCAATAAGTAAATATTTATATGTAATGGGATCCTGGAAGAAATCCCCTAATGATTAAAAAATTAATGAAAACATTTCCATACATAATACTTCAGCTATCAAGAGACATAGTGAGAATTTAAATGCATATATGAAAATCTAAAAGCATTCTCCTTAGTGCTTTATTTTACTTTTATGTAATGAAATGCAAAATTATTGGTAAGGCAACTGTTCTGAATTTTTTAAATGCAACTCTCTATACAAAAAAATAATTTTTTAACACAGAATGTATTTTGGTTAACTTTAAGTAAATACTGTGGGTTTTTTTAGTAGAGATTGAATTTTAATAGTTCTATTTGGAAATAATGATTTCCCCTCCCCTGCTAATGTAGATAAGATCACAGACCCTCTGATTTAGCTTTATTTCTGAATTGAAGACACTAGGGAAGAAGGACATTCATTCTTTCTAATCAAAACATCTCTCTGAAATCTAAAGAATTGAACCAGTTGTCTTGATATAAATTGTCTCTCAGAATGGAAGTGATTATTACTCTTGTTATACCCATCAAAACTGTTTGGACGAAACTAGGAAACCATGAGGCTGTACCAGGATCTTGTTTTGGAATGCTAAGTTTAAAAACAATAAATACAGAAGATGTTTCCCACAACAGGGTTATTTGATTTTGGCTTGTATCTGTGCTGTCCAGTAGGGCAGTCGCTGGCCACATGTAGCTGTTGACATTTGATATGTGGCTAGTCCCAAGTGAGATGTGCTGTGCATAAAATACGACATTTCAGAGACTTCGTCTGTAGAAAAGGACTAATACTTTATTCATAATTTTTATGTGAATCACATATTAAAGGAATAATATTTTGGATATATGGGATTAAATAAAACATTAAAATTAATTTTACTTTTTTATATGACTAGTAGAAAGTTTAAAAATACTTGAGGCTTACATTATATTTCTAATGGACAGAACTGGTCTGTATCATCATATATAATCAACATTCTTAGTCCTTCATTACTCAGTATTTAGTCCTTCATTACTTAGTCCTTCATTACTCTGTAGGCCTTAAACCTTCTCGTCTGCGTATGGGTCAATTACTATAAATCTGCATTGTTTTAAGAAAGGATTCTTTGATTCATCAAATATTTACTGAGTACCTACAATGTGCCAGACAGTATTTTAGGCACTGGGATTCAGTAGTGAACAAAGTAAACAAAACTCTCTGCTTTTATGGAGTTGACCTTCTATTGGAGAGACTAAAAATAAGTAAATAAGTGAGATATATAATCTATTAGAAGGCAATAAGTTTTTTTGCAGAAAATATAAGAGAGAAGTTCAATTATATATAGGGTACTCAGGGAAGGCCTCACTTGAAAGGGTAATATTTGAGTAAAGACTTGAAAAAGGTGAGAGAAAGAGCCTTATAGATATTTAGGGAAGAGTGTTCTAGGCAGAGGAAATAGCAAACGCAAAGATCTTGAGGCAGGCTTGTGTCTGTCTTGTTGGGATGGTAGAAGGAGGCTTGCCGTGAGTGATGGGTAGAGAAGAAGAAAGGAAATGAGAGCCGTGGTTATTGTAAGGATTTTGGCTTTGAGCGAGATGAAAGGAAATAGGTAGGGTTTGAGAAGAGAAGTGAGATGGTTTTTTGTTGGTGCTGCTGTGATTCTGATACTCTGAGGTGAGGGTGGGAGATTGCAAGAATGCAGCAGAGAGGCCCAGCTCAGGGCTGCTGCAGTGACCCAGTTGAGAGGTGGTGGTTCCTGAGGCCATAACCAAAGGAAGTGATGGAATTCTAGGCAGATGCTGTTGTGAAATTACATATGGGATGAGAGAGAAAGAATTGTGTCACTGTTGACTCCGCTTTTGGCCTGAACAACTGGAGAATGGAGTGCCTTTTATTGAATTGGGGAGGATTGTGGGAGCAATAGCTTTGAAGTAGCACCAGGAGCTCAGTTCTGGGCACATTAAATTAGAGATGCCTCCTCAGACATCTTAAGTGGGAAGGTCAAGGAATTCAGTGAGATAGAAGTTAAAGTCATTAGCATTTAAAACTCTGGTAAGATTTGAGATCACCAACGGAGTGAGAGTAGATAGAAAAAAGGAGAGCCAGGGGCCACTGCAACATTCGGAGATCGGGAGATTCGACAAAGGCGACTGAGGAACGGGCCATAGGGTGAGAATTGGGATATTGTAGTCACCAAGGAAACACAGTGTTTCAGGGAAGCAGGAATACTCAGCCTTGTCAAGTGCTGCTGGTAGGTTAGGTAAGATGGGAGTTGAAAACTGATCATTGGATTTAGCAACGAGGAGGTTACTAGTGACCTGGACAAGTGTTTCAGTGAAGTGGCGGAGACAGAAGCCTGAGTAGAATAGATTCAAGGGAGAATGGAAGGAAATGAACAGAAGAGGGTGAATAGACAGACTCTCTTTTCAGGAACTGTGGAGTCATGAGGGGTCAAGGAAATGTTTGGTTTTAGTTTTTTCAATGAGAGAAATTAACCCATATTTTCTCAATGGCATGTATTGGAAAGATTTGAAGATCTTCTGAAATGACCCACCAGATTTGTGACACTTAAGACGTATGTGGGAAGGGTTAGTGTTTCCCTCCTAAGAGGATTTCGTAGAATTGAGTTTTGTAAAGAATCTGTGTGTGTGTGTGTGGGTAGGTTGGCATTGATTGTGTTAAAAGTTGCTTTTGTAATTGTTAGGAAATGTGGCTTCATTTCTTCTTGCTCAGGGTCTGTGTTCACATTCTGATAAAAACTTTAAGGAAGCAAATGTTAAACGATTTCGCCTCAACTGGAAGAGTTGAGAAAACTAGTGTATGGGGGTAATTTATTTTCCGTTCCTTAAAGGAAGTTGCCAGAAGCATTGGGAGAAATTGAGGCAGAGACATGCCCAAGGTCACAAGACAAAACGTTGCCAGGATAACTGTGTCTTAGAGCTGATTCCCTAGCTCTGTGGAACACTTAATCTCTTCATTTCAGTTCCAACCGGTAAAAAAGGAGGATAATATGTGTTCTACCTACTACACGAGGTTTTTATGAGGATCAAATGGGATAGTAGGTGAAAGAGCTTCCTCAGCTATAAAGCATTCTATACATATTAAGTAATAGTGTTAAAAGCAAGTTAGGCTTAAGGATATTGTGACAGTTTTTGTAATAACTAGAGATAAATGGAATGTAACAAAATCTGGGTTGAGAATAACTACAATACATAATACTAATAGAGTCTTCCAAGAATTTGCCTTTTGTGTATGTCAAGCTTTCTTAACAACACCACAGAGTCGATCATATTTGGGTCATCATAGAGTTTTGTGGTTAAAAGCCATGGAGGAGATCCAAACAATCAATCAGTTTATCCCCTAGGAGCCTCAGAATTACTGAACATCTGATTATTTTGGCACATTAATGTTAGTTTGCTGAAACTCTGTGGAATAGCCGCTCTCTTAATGGAAAATATTCAAGTTATGATGATAAATTTTATGTCAAACTTGAGAGCATTTCTATATTTGATACTTGAAGTGAAACTATAGTCATACTTTATTTTCATAAGAGATTGTTATGGGAAATTGAGAAATTTAAAATAGGTAGCCAAGGTCACTCCCATTAAAGATGATGTGAAGATGATGAGTGATATAAAACAAGTATAAAACTGGACAAAATTGACAAAAATAATCATTTTTGGGCACCGGGAAGGCAGATAATAATTATGCTGGTGCTTGGGTAGAAGAGTGTTCCCCCAACACTGTTCCCCCAATCCCAGCTCAGTTGGTAGGAACTGCAGTTTTGTCAGCTTACACTTTTTGCCAGAAGTGAGGGACTTTGTAGTGGAGGCTGGGGTTGTGGGTGAATACCCCACAGCTTTGCTGGCTAAAACTGGCATACTCAGTTTACAATGGATAAGAAAAACCTCCAGCTTTGCTATATCACGTTTGCAGTCCTGTTTTGGGGCCACCAGGCAGAAATTGAACGGAGAGAGCCTGGAAATGAGAGAACCATAGAAGCATTGTGATGAGCTCTCCACACATCTGTGGCAACTGCTAAACGTTGCATATCCAGGGGGGACAATCACACAACAAGTGAAAGCCAAGGGAGGCCCCTCAAAAGCTTGGGTGCGCCCTAGCCGGTTTGGCTCAGTGGATAGAGTGTTGGCCTCTGGGCTGAAGGGTCCTGGGTTCGATTCCAGTCCAGGGAGCGTACCTCGGTTGCAGGCTCCCGGCCGTGGTCAGGGGCATGGGCCCTGGTCGGGGGCATGCGGGAGGCAACCAATCGATGTGTCTCTCTCACATCGAAGTTTCTCTCTGTCTTTCCCTCTCCCTTTCATTCTCTCTAAAAGTCAGTGGAAAAAATATCCTTGAGTGAGGATTTAAAAAAAAAAAGCTTGGGTGCAACTTTCAAAAAATCCACAAACAACTCCATCAGTGAAGCGGGGAACCCTTACAAGTACAAAGTGTTTGGGCACAACCCCTGCTCACATCTCTGGCTGACCATGAACCTAGGCAGACAGAGGTAACATGTAGGGAACTGGGTCAGAAACTATAAATCTGACTTTTAAAAACTCAGCAAAGTTATCAGGGACTATATGTCATGAAAGAGACAGATTCTATACTTTAAGTTCAAACAAATTATTAAAATGACCATCAACCCTTAGAATATTGAGATTTATCAACTGATGAGTGGATGGATAAAATGTGGTATATCCAGGTAATGGAATACTGTTTGGCAATGAAAAGGACTGAAGTGCTGATACGTGCTACCACATGGATGGACTTTGAAAACATTATGCTCAGTAAAAGACGACCATCACAGAAGTCTGATTATATGATTTCATTGATATGAAATGTCAAGAATATATATCCATTCATATTAAC